CCGCATCTGAGAGCACAGCAAAACCCATAACGATCTCGGATTCAGAATCGACTAAGGCGTTAGGAATCTCATGGTTGCCTAAGGAAGATGCCTTTCAGTTTAAAATTGACAATGAAGTCATGGGTCTCCGAGCGACAAAACGGAACATACTGTCGGTGACATCGAAGCTGTTCGACCCCCTTGGATTGTTAAGTCCTATCGTCATAAAGGGCAAGATCCTATTGCAGGAACTTTGGCTTAACAAACTAGATTGGGATGAGTCGATTCCGATGCACTTGGAAACAGCATGGAATATGTTGAAAAATACACTGTCTCAATTGGAAGAGATATCCATACCTCGGTTTGTGTATTCCGATCCGATGTCACCGATCCAAATACATGCCTTCGCTGACGCCTCCATGAGAGCTTATGGAGCGTGCGTCTATGTCCGTAGCAGAACTGCAGAAGGTTTAAAAATATCATTGTTGACTTCAAAGTCCAAAGTAGCGCCGCTCAAGACCAAAACGCTCCCACGGCTTGAGTTATGTGCCGCTCACCTTCTCGCGGATCTCTGTCACAGAATCAAGCCCCTATTAAAGGTCCCTATCGAACGAGCTGTTTATTGGTCAGACTCTGAAGTAACTCTTCACTGGATTCGGTCGCATCCATCTTCGTTGTCGACGTTCGTTTCGAATAGGGTGGCTGAGATTCAGGAGTGGTCAGATGAAGCTACGTGGCGGCATGTCCCTACAAAACAGAACCCTGCAGATATTGTGTCAAGAGGTTGTGACGTCAAAGAAATCGTCCAGTCAATCTGGTTTGAAGGACCATCATTTTTGAAGGATGAAGAAGAGACCTGGCCAAAAAACCCTCATTTCGAGCCTACAGAAGATGTCGAGCTGGAGAAGAGGAAGAACGCGGTCGGGCTGACCGCTGCGGTAGAAATTTCGGATTTGGTAGATGTCTTCGAGGGATTCTCGTCACACCTCAAGCTGCTTAGAGTGTTTTGTTATATGTTCCGCTTTATAAAAAAAATGTAAAAACCCGAGCATAACGTTTGAAAAAACGGTTTCACCGACCGAGTATGATGAAGCCTTTCGCAAAATTGGAAATCGAGAAAGTTCGGAAAGGATCTAGAGTTGGTCCTAGTCTTCAGCGGTTGAACCCTTTCATCCATGAAGACACTGGTACTTGGTGTACTTTTTCGTTGTTGAGAGTAGGGGGGCGACTAGCTAAAGCTCCTATATCATACGATGCCAAGTTTCCGTTGCTTTTGACGAAGCGTTCGCAATTCGTGCGGAGCTATGTTCGTCATCTGCACCATATCAATTTTCATGTCGGCCCACGAGCACTTGTGAGCATCCTTCGACAGAGTGTTTGGATCGTAAACGCTCAGGAGGTCTGCAGTCAGACAGTTCGATCGTGTATCCGCTGCTTTAAATGCAAGCCTCGACTGCTGACGCAACTGATGGGAAATTTAACCGCAGACCGGCTCCGTGCTCTCCGCCCATTTTCAATTTGCGGCGTTGATTTTTGTAGACCCGTCTCGACGACATTGAAAATTCGAGGAAGGCCCCCATACAAGTCCTATATCGCGCTTTTTGTTTGTTTTGCGTCCAAAGCGGTTCACTTAGAACTTGTATCCGACTTGACCACTGACTCTTTTTTATTGGCTTTCCAAAGGTTCGTTGGGCGCCGAGGATATCCCCAGATCGTCCATTGCGACAACGGGACGAATTTCGTCGGAGCGAGCCGCCACCTCAGCGCTCTGCAGAAGGCGCTCGAGGACGGGGCGGACGCAGTTCGCGAATTCGCGTCAAGAAAAGGATGCGAATTTGCGTTCATACCGCCTCGAGCGCCGCACATGGGAGGACTCTGGGAGGCAGGTGTCAAGTCTGCGAAGAGCCTACTCCTACGGGCGGTAGGCAGCGCGCTATTGACCGCCGAAGAGCTCGCCACAGTCCTCGTCGGGATCGAGGCCGTCCTGAACTCCAGGCCGCTGGGAGCCCACAGCCAGGACCCCAGCGACGGCGAGGCACTCACGCCCGGGCACCTGCTGACAGGCGGGTCGCTCATCGCCCCCCCAGCACTGCGGACTCCGGACCAGGAGGGTCTCAGCTGCTTGCGGCGATGGCAACTTGCCTCGTCAGTCAGGCAAGCGTTCTGGCGGCGATGGTCCAAGGAATATGTCCTGGGCCTTCAAATTCGGGGCAAGTGGCACCAGCGGAAACCCGACGTCAAGGAGGGAGACCTCGTCCTCGTGGCCGAGGACAACATGCCTCCACAGGAGTGGCTCTTCGGGAGGGTGATCGCCACGCACGCCGGGGAGGACGGCATGGTCAGGGTCGTCGACCTTAGGAGGAGCGATGGGGGCATTTTTCGGCGGGCCATCCACAAGTTGGCGCCGCTACCAATGTGTTGAAGCCGCTCAGGCCTTCAACGGGGCCGGTGTTTCGTCATGTCGTCGTCTTAGTCAATGTTTTATGTTAAGATTATTTTTGAATTGTTTTGAAGTCTAGTGTAAGTAGGTTAGGGCAAGGCGGGAGCGCAATAAAAGCTCGCTCTTTCGCTCAAGGCGAATTCGCCCCGCTTTGCCACCGTAGGTTAGTTAGGCATAGAATGAAGTGTAATGAATTTTTAGAATATAATCGTTGAAATTGAATTCGATCGAGCGCACCTAAATTATTTCGTCCCCGCTTTTAATAAATCTTTACGCCACCCAAGTATTTCGGTTTTGTTTTATTAGAAAAACTATTCTAAATTTTCAATATTCATGCAGTGTGTTTGGCCTAACCAATTTAAGCACCACCCCAAGGCCAAGTTGCAATATGATGCAGTTTCGGCGGCGGTCATTGTCGCTGCCCAAAAGTGATGCGTCTGCATCTAAACCGTGAGAACCTTACGTAACGGGCATTGGGCAGGTACCACCGCTGACCGAAAGCTGACGCGTCATATTGCATATTGACTTTGGGAACCTTACGCAACAGGGCTTTGTTTCCCACGATAGAACACCTGCATGGAGGCAACTCGCCCCAACGATTTTGTATAAATATAAGCTTAATTTAAATAAAAATCAATTATAACTTTCACCTCCAAGCGTACTACAACTTCTACTTGACCAAAAAACTAAAACTCTTCAATTACCTGGTATAAAAATGACTTTTTAAAAGGAACTTTTAATTATCCTTTAAATTGATGCCTTAAAACCAATAAGTGTGAGCGAGATGCATATATTAACTCTCTTGAAAATCAACATTTGTGCGTTTATAAGAGTACAAAATGGCGGCATTCTTTGCGCTATCTTGTGTTTCTGTGTTTCAGATTCGGCAATCTGGTAGATATGATCATTTTCTACGATACTGCGTTTTTAGCTATATCGTGTCTTTAAAATTGTAGCTGCCCCAGATTTTTGTCCTTTGTAGGGGCGAAAGGGGGCGGGGCGAAATTATGAAATACACTTGTAGCAGTGTGACATCACGTGCGTCTGGAAACAAAATTTGTTTGCCTTAGCTCTTATAGTCTCTGAGAACTAGGCGCTCATCAAGACGGACGGACGGACGGACAGACAGACATGGCTATATCGACTCGGCTATTGATGCTGATCAAGAATATGGATACATTATGGGGTCGGAAACGTCTCCTCCTCTGCGTTGCACACATCCACTTTTACCACAAATACAATATACCCCTTAACTCTTTTTTGAGTACGGGTATAAACAGTGAAACAACATATGGGCATTTCTCTGAAATCGAACGGGACATTCGTACGCATTTCAAGTGGTATAAAGGTCAAAATAAGACGGATTTTCAAAATCGTTTTACCTTTATGATACACCTCATGACTAGGCCTATAAGTGGTGCTAGGTCGCTTTTGAGCCACTATTCGTTTTCGAGATTTTGTCAAAAAAACCGAACCATTTCCACGGGAAAAATATGAAAGTTGAGGCCATATGTTGATGCAAATTTCTATACATGTCGTGTTTTAATGTCTCTTTAAAATGGTAATATAAAACGCAAATAAGAGTCGTGGTTTTTTTTTAATTTAATGATGACCATATTCGCATGGGACAAAAGTTCCTAGGTTAATAACATTTTCCCAAGAATGTACTTTTTTATATGAGATAATAGTAATAGAAAATATGGCCAAACAAAAATATCAAAAAAGTGAATTTTTGCTTATTTGAATAAGTTTTCACATCAAAGTTATTGAAATTATATGTGAATTGAGTAAATTAGTTGCCGTTCATAAAATTTTTACTATAATATCGCAACATAATTATATGGAAATGTTTTTTTATAGACATTACATTTTTTGTTCTCGGTGGACCTCGTCAGGGAAATGCCCATATATGTATGTATATACTAATTCCTTGCATATATGTGGGGGTTTTGGTTTAATATTAAGTTTAATAAATGTTGAAATATAGTATTTGGTACAAGAAATAGAATTTAAGCGTCGTTCGTCGTCTGGTCTCTTTCCACAACCCTCTCACGTCGGCAGCTGGATCGAAACTCTCTCGGCCTCTCTCTTCTCGATCTGCTTTGTGCAGATGTCTTAATTCGCCATCGGTCGTGCTTGCTGTTGTGCTTTTGGAATTCCAACCCACATATACATATATATATAGAAAGATAAATGTGTTTGGCTATTAAGAGTTTTTAATAGCCGTTGAAACTCAGTTATTATTAAGAAAAAAGTCTAGCGTTTCAATAGGTAATGTTGTACAATTTGTTTCGTATTTTTAAGGGAAAGTAGGCTTCAGTATGATGACCGATATAATAAAGTGATGCGATGGATACGAAGATCTCTCAACTGGCTACAAGTGCAGATGGGCCGCTTTGCCAGCGCCCTATGCAGCAAGTCTTGAAATAGAGCGAAAGCGAGCGATGAGCGGGGCAGATGCTAAGCCGAGCACGAACGTCATATGGAACGCGAGAGACCAGCTTAGATGCAGCAACTGCAACAACAAAGCGAAGAAGGCGAGATAAAATGAAAGAGCGGCCGCTGCCTTGACCCGACATACTCCCCCGTTGGAAGCCTGACTTTCAACAGCATCTTTAAGGGGAAGCAGACACAGCTTGTTAACGGCTCGCCTGGTGATTCCAGTTGCAGTCTTCAGAACAGCGACTCGGGCGACGCTATCTCTTTCAGGTAGTAGTTCGACCACCCTCGCTAGTGGCCACTTCATGGGAGGTAGATTTTCATCCTTGACGAGGAACAGGTCGGTGACTGTTAAACTCGGTTTCTGAGTTCGCCACTTTGAGCGCTGCTGCAGCGACGTGATGTACTGCTCCTTCCACCGGGACCAAAAGAGCTGTTGAAGGTACGAAACGCGCTACCAGGCGTCAAGGCGATCGAAGTTTAGCTTCGTGACGTCAGTCTCAGCTAACGAAGCAGGAGGGTGCTGGAGTTAAAACGTCAAGATCGGCAGGACTCTCTGAAATGGGAACTAAAGGTCTTGTATTAATGACTGCCGTGATGTGGCATAACAGCGTCCGCAGCTCGTCAAATCCATGAACAGAAATGGATATCGCTCGATAGAAGTGGTACTTGGCCGTCTGCACTGCAGCTTCCCATAGGCCAGCAAAGTGTGGAGAGCACGGCGGGATAAACTGCCAATCAATAGACTCAACCAAACAAAAATCCAGAACCGCCTTCAGATGATCATCGCTGAGAAACAGGCGCCTTAGCTCCACGAGCTCGTTCCTTGCACCGACACAATTGGGTGCGTTGTCTGACCAAATTTACCGTGGCTTTCGTCTGGTGCATATAAAACGCTTTAGACCGTGGAGAACTGTCAATAGATCCTTGATCAGCTCCAGATGAACAGCCTTGGTCGCGAAACAAATAAGGACGCAGACGTTGCACTTGATTGGAGCCTTGTTGCGTGCCTCCGGCTTGTAGAAAAACGGGCCACAAAAGTCTACGCCTGTGATCTCAAAGGCATGAGAACCGTCTAGGCGCTCCTTTGGAAGATCCGCCATGATGTGCTCCAATATTCTAGGTTTCGTTCGAAAACATCTCACGCACTTGTATACGGCTTTGTTAACTGTCTTCTTCCCCCCAATATTGGGATCGGATTAATCCCAGCTAAGCTCGAGGACTGGCGTGCAGATTCCGCTCATGAAAGTGAGAGATAATTGCAAGAGTAAGCGGATGGCTGCTGGGCAAAATGATGTGATGACGGCCATCAAAATTCAACGAAGAATTATTCAGCCGACCCTCAACTCTGAGGAGTCCAAATGATCCATGAAAGGGCACAATGATGAAAGTGAGCTGGATGAGGAGACCACTCCCCTAGCGCGCAGTAACTTCATGTCTTCCAAGAGCTGTGTACGCTGGACCAGCCGCACCAATAACTGGGTTCCACGCTCAATGTCAGAGAAGGTGAGTCCAGGGCGCCGAATCCAGTTGCATAATTTTTGAATGTACCCAAAAACGCGTTGCAAAAAAGCGAATGAGTTCACATACTTGGAATTGGCTACAATGTCCAAGTAGGGTGATTTGGACAAGAAAACCTTTCGACGTAGCTCAAGGGTTGGCTTATCAGGCAACACCGTAGCTGGCCAGTCATCTGAAGAGCCACAAAGAAAGGGAAGTCCATGAGCCCAAAGGGGTGACTCACTCAACTCGACTGGTAGAGCCCCTCGCGAAAGAATGTCGGCCGGGTTCAAAGCTTTGGGAACATAGTGTCATTCCATTTTTTCAGCCAGTTCATGTATCGTTGGCACTCTATTTGCGACAAATATATTGAATCGGGACGGCTCGTCCCGAATCCAAGAGAGCGCAACAGCCGAATCACACCAACAGTAGCACCTTCCTTTGAAGACACTCATTCCGGCTACCTCAGATATGAGCCTAGCTAGCAATTCCCCTCCACAAAGCTCCAGCTTTGGTATGGTAAGTGTTTTCAATGGAGCAAGACGAGATTTTGCACAAAGCAAGTGACTGCTGGATCGCTGACCCTTCGACACAACATAAATGCAGGCACCATAAGCCTCTATGCTGGCGTCGCAAAATCCGTAAATTTCTAGCTCAGAGTTCGGAATGAGCACAAGCCGAGGAAATTCATAACGCCGAATCTTGCCAAAACTACTGCATATTTCCTGCCACGAGGTGTTGAGTGCGGATGGCAAGCTTTCATCCCAGGACAGACACGACCCATCCCAAACGAGTTTTCTGAATTGATGGCAATCCTGGCAGTAATTTGACCTGACCAACACAAAGAAGCTTGTAGAACAGACTGGCGCCAATTAAAAGATCGACACGCTGAGGTCTATGAAACTCTGGATCAGCAAGTGGTAGTTTTGCTGGAATGTTCTAGTCGTGAGTGTCTATTCCGAAACTTGGTTGACGATCGGTTATGTTACAACAGCAGTGATGAGAGTTGAGTAGTCCGTCGAGCGAGAGTTCAGGCTAATGTTGACAGAAAATCCATCCGTGACGAAGTTTGAATCACCTATTCCAGATACTGCAGTCGATGATTTTATTTTTCGAAGCTGAAGCTGATTGGCAACACGAGAGGTAAGGTGAGGTGCAGCTGAGAGCTGGAATCAAGCAAAACTCGGCAGGGAACGAGGACTCCTGAACGATTTTTAACCAAGACTGTTGCCGTGGCTAACAGAACAATATCATTACTGAAAACTTTGGCAATAAGAGCAGCAGAGGTAGACGATGAAGTAGAGGGTGCAGTGGCATTATGAGACAACGTGATGAGACTAGACGGCGCAGACGGAGATAGAGTTTCAAGTGCCACTGATTGAGTTTGGACTGCAGTGCCTGCGCCCGCAGATACGACAGCTGCTCGAGCTGCATTTAGACAGTTTTTAGACAGTTTAAGCATAGAGAGAGTCTCTTGACTTCCTTAAGGCAATTTGCAGGGGACAGGGCCTTGAACTTCGAGCAATAATGGATTTCGTGAGCAGTTTCACTGCAAAGAACGCAGCCTGATGAGCTGTGACTTGTGGCATCAAGTGCGGATCTAGAATGGTCAGTTTCTGTACTTCTGTCCACCTGACTGCTCGGCGCATAAGTTGCCATAGCGAAATCCACGGTTTCCAATGTCCTGCATCGCTGTTCCAAGAACGAGGCCACGCCTGCATATGAGAGTTGAACTTGTCCGAAATCTCCCGAAGCATAGCCACTGACCCATTTTCCACAGCCTGGAGCCCCAGGATTTCAGTGCCTGAAAGACCAACCGTCGATTATTAAATCTCTGTTCCAATAACTCTAATGCCATGTTATAGTTGCCATCCGAGAGTTCTAACGTTCCAATTGTCTCCAACGCCAAATCACGCAAGCAAGATCGCAGATGCTGTAACTTTTCAATGTTGGATAGGTCCGGATGATTGTCAATAATGGTAACAAACATAGAATAAAAATCTGACCAGTTTGCATACCCTCCGCCAAACGTTGGCAATTGCAAAGGCGGCAGGGACTGCCGACGGCGAGGTGGAGGCTGCGAACAGGCAAATCCAGCAGTTGCATTTGTTCCAGCCAACGTGGAATGAGAAGGCATGTGATCGCTAGCCCTGGCAATTTCACGACAAATTGACGGCTTCAATGTTCGGAAAAGTGTTCGAAACTTGTCGTGCAATCCACTGCTAAATTCTCGACAATCCAATTCTTCGAGCTCGTTCCACACGGTTTTGAACGTACCCTGCAGCTCCTCGATCTCCTCCAACCTTACCACGAGCATATAGTAATCGCAAGCCGACAATTCATTCTCCCAAGTCAATATTTGAATGCTAAATTGTAGTTTGTGATTGCACGAATATATTAACTGATGCACAATCACGTCGGGGTCACCAAATGTTTGGCTATTAAGTTTTTAATAGCCGTTGAAACTCAGTTATTATTAAGAAAAAAGTCTAGCGTTTCAATAGGTTATATTGTACAATTTATTTCGTATTGGTAAGGGAATGTAGGCGTCAATATGATGACCGATATAATAAAGTGATGCGATGGATACGAAGAAAATTATCTCTCAACTAGCTACAAGGGGAGGACTTGCCAGCGCCCTATGCAGCAAGTCTTGAAAGAGAGCGAAAGCGAGCGATAAAAGAAGAACAGCTCGGGGCAGATGCTAAGCCGAGCACGAACGTCATATGGAACGCGAGAGGCCTGCTTAGATGCTGCAACTGCAACAACAAAGCGAAGAAGGCCAGATAAAAATTAAAGAGCGGCCCCTGCCGTTCATAAACATAGGCTGATGCTGAACAATGATTTGTACAGTGGACATAGAAAATAATGAACATAATGAAATAATATTTAGGCTGCTTGACCCGACATACTCCCCCCGTTGAAAGCCTGACTTTCAACAGCATCTTTAAGGGGAAGCAGACACAGCTTGTTAACGGCTCGCTTGGTGATTCCAGATGCCGTCTTCAGAACAGCGATTCGGGCGATGGCATCTCTTCCAGGTAGTAGTTCGACCACCCTCGCTAGTGGCCACTTCATGGGAGGCTGATTTTCATCCTTGACGAGGACCAGGTCGGTGACTGCTAAACTCGGTTCCAAAAGAGCTGTTGAAGGTACGAAACGCGCTACCAGGCGTCAAGGCGATCGAAGTGTAGCTTCGTGACGTCAGTCTCAGCTAACGAAGCAGGAGGGCCGCCATTCAAGAAATGTGCTGGAGTTAAAACGTCAAGATCGGCAGGACTCTCTGAAATGGGAACTAAAGGTCTTGTATTAATGACTGCCGTGATGTGGCATAACAGCGTCCGCAGCTCGTCAAATCCATGAACAGAAATGGATATCGCTCGATAGAAGTGGTACTTGGCCGTCTGCACTGCAGCTTCCCATAGGCCAGCAAAGTGCGGAGAGCACGGCGGGATAAACAGCCAGAACCGCCTTCAGATGATCATCGCTGAGAAACAGGCGCATTAGCTCCACGAGCTCGTTCCTTGCACCGACACAATTGGGTGCGTTGTCTGACCAAATTTATCGTGGCTTTCGTCTGGTGCATATAAAACGCTTTAGACCGTGGAGAACTGTCAATAGATCCTTGATCAGCTCCAGATGAACAGCCTTGGTCGCGAAACAAATAAGGACGCAGACGTTGCACTTGATTGGAGCCTTGTTGCGTGCCTCCGGCTTGTAGAAAAACGGGCCACAAAAGTCTACGCCTGTGATCTCAAAGGCATGAGAACCGTCTAGGCGCTCCTTTGGAAGATCCGCCATGATGTGCTCCAATATTCTAGGTTTCGTTCGAAAACATCTCACGCACTTGTATACGGCTTTGTTAACTGTCTTCTTCCCCCCCAATATTGGGATCGGATTAATCCCAGCTAAGCTCGAGGACTGCCGTGCAGATTCCGCTCATGAAAGTGAGAGATAATTGCAAGAGTAAGCGGATGGCTGCTGGGCAAAATGATGTGATGACGGCCATCAAAATTCAACGAAGAATAATTCAGCCGACCCTCAACTCTGAGGAGTCCAAATGATCCATGAAAGGGCACAATGATGAAAGTGAGCTGGATGAGGAGACCACTCCCCTAGCGGGCAGTAACTTCATGTCTTCCCAGAGCTGTGTACGCTGGACCAGCCGCACCAATAACTGGGTTCCACGCTCAATGTCAGAGAAGGTGAGTCCAGGTCAGCCGAATCCAGTTGCATAATTTTTGAATGTACCCAAAAACGCGTTGCAAAAAAGCGAATGAGTTCACATACTTGGAATTGGCTACAATGTCCAAGTAGGGTGATTTGGACAAGAAAACCTTACGACGTAGCTCAAGGGTTGGCTTATCAGGCAACACCGTAGCTGCCCAGTCATCTGAAGAGCCACAAGGAAAGGGAAGTCCATGAGCCCAAAGGGGTGACTCACTCAACTCGACTGGTAGAGCCCCTCGCGAAAGAATGTCGGCCGGGTTCAAAGCTTTGGGAACATAGTGTCATTCCATTTTTTCAGCCAGTTCATGTATCGTTGGCACTCTATTTGCGACAAATATATTGAATCGGGACGGCTCGTCCCGAATCCAAGAGA